GACACCACCTTAATCATTTGCTTTCCCCTTCCTACAATTCCTCGAGGTCTTTCGACGGTCAAAATAATTGGTTAACAGTAGGTTAAGTTTTTTCTATAATTCGTCCTCTGCACATAAATGTAAAGGCAGCCATTAATCTATTGTTATTTTTACATCGTTCGACGGTTCTCGCCGCTCGTCTCAGCCTCACCCTTAAGAGCTCGTCCGCGATACGACTACCCAATGCTAATACCAGGTGTATCTATGTCTGGATGTGTCTGCGTGAGAAAAGTTATGTTTGACGCAGCTCTGTTTATAACCTTTTTTCTCAGGGCCGGATTGTTATTTCAGGCTGCAACTGCCTATATCATTGTGCAGGCATCGCATAGGATGATAAGAGACAGTGGCAACATCAATGAACTTTGCCCTGCCGTCGAGGTTGTCCTGTTTATTTATTCAGTGGGATTCCATATGAACGAAAACGAATAGAAAAGGCTGTAACATACCAAGTGGGCAGGAAACGATTTGTCACTAAAAACGCGCTACGGGTTCGACAGATAAGCAGACCTATTAACACAATCAATTTTTTCTGTTAATTATCTATGCATCGTCGTCGTTGTTGGATTTTGTCGCTGTCTTTATGTGGGTCATTCTGGCACTGCTTAGCGAAATATAGATGTTACACTGAACTTATCGTGTAAACAGACAATCAGTTCCATGTTGTAACGCTTATAGAAAGACAAATGTGACATATATTGGCATAGAGTTTGTTAATCAGCACCTCGATTCATGAGTTCGTTTGACTTCGAAATATTACAGTTGGTTTAATCGAAAGACAAGCGAAGGCCATTCAGATGTAATACATTACAGCGCCATCAATTGTCATTTCGCAATCGCTCTGGATAAAAAAGAATAGCGTCTCGTGTAGCGTGAGGGTACCCAGATCTTGATTAGTTTTTCTACTCATATTAATAAACAAAGATACGTGCCATAAACAGTACTGCCTATAGTAGTAATAATTAGCGTATAGGTGCTCCCTGGGTAAGGACTCCCGTCAGAAACTGCGAGGCGACCTGACTCAAAACCGAAGAACAACACTAGTGGGCCAACAGAAACTTATCGTTTCAGAGTAAGAACTATGTTGCATGTTACAATCAACTTGGTTAGAGGATATCCTTAAACAACATTAACGAGTTATAACTATTTACAGTATCTTTCCTTCATTTCTTTTCAAATATCTATTAACGAGTAATCAAATAGGAGATTGCTCAGATCGACCAGGCTGTTTATATATGCGGATTATTTTTCGATTTGGACACAAAACACAGTATATAGAAAAATGGTTATATCGACTAGATTTGAGATAGATAAAACAAGCTCTGCGTGACTTTATCTGGCATTTATCACATCGTTTTGTATATTGGTTTATTACAGTAAGATTAAGAAAAAAAAAAACGTGAGTATAGATAATTCTTTAGCAAGGATGAGCGCTTTTTAAATAGTTGTTCGGTTTGTCTGCATCAATGATATATTTAAATTGGAAGCCTCGAAAAGCTCTGTTATTAAGCAAGCCCAATAATAACAAAAATCGGTACACTTTTTCTATTGGAAGACTTACTAATAAAGCGATCATGTAAAAGTGATAAAATAATTGATTTGTTTCGTAAACTAAAGTACACTATCTTCTCATCATTAGCGCTATATAGTAGATAGTGTGTCTAAGTTTCGTTAGTAAGCTATGCCAAAACAAAGTCGCAAACGGCAGCAAACTTTGTGTTTTTGGTAACTATATTTTTCTAAGCGTTTTTTTTTTGTGATTTATAGAAATTTTATCACAGCGCAATGAATGCGAACTCTGAAAGGTTCGAAAAAGCCAGAATATGAACAAGTTCTATATTACAATTAATCAGACATGATCTCGTGGTACTCATTGGTAAAATAATAAGTTGGCCTAGAAGCAGATATTTCAGATATCAATAATGATAATAATAAAAATGTATATAAAATATTTCTTTAGACAAAGTCAAAAAATGATAGATAACTTCAGCGTACAGCCTCAAATTACTGTGGTAGACCGAGATCATTAATGACAGACAAAAGCTGCTCACCAGGCCGACGGCAGGCTCCTTACCAAAACAAATGCCTTATATTTTATTAGTCGTCCCCACAACTGACTTACCTTTACTGAACTCTGCGACTTCCTTAGAATACGAATCTGAAACGTGTCCTATCAACTGCCCGTTAACGATTTTTGTCTTTCATAGGCAACAGCTTCCTTTCAATCGTGTTTTGAATCAATATTTGATTAGAACGGATACCGTTTTCATTCGTAGCACATAAACACTGGCCATTGTTAAGCGATCGTTATGTAATCGGTAAGTTTTTGTCTGTTTAGTCTCGTAATAGATGGGTCCGTGTATTCAAATGGAAATAAGTGCCAGGCTATATCGGAGTAAGTGCTTCATTGATAGTTACTTTGGGTGAACCCGCTACAACAAAGGTAATATTCAAATACTTCAATGACAACATAGGACAGTTCTCATGTTCCCGACCACACAGGCAGTGATGTCTTCGAAAACCTTGTACAATTTGGTACACGTTCATTGTTTCACGCTTATCAATGTTCCTTGCTAAATTGGAAGAAAGTAACGGGTTACACGGTATAACTAACCAAATAATGCTTGTGCTGTTACGTACTAGCACTAAGCGTTGGCCTATTTCATCGTAAATACACCCGGTCAAAAATATATCTTTTACAGTTTTGAAGGAAACCTTGGGCCGAGCAATTCCAGTATCCCTAGGGAAAAGCGCGATCAGCAGCATCTCCCTATTGCAAGTGCTCTGTCATCTTAACTAGTACAAATTTGTTAGCTGCGTGTTAACAAGTTGATATGAGAATCGAAAAGCAGGACCAATCTAGTAGATTTCAGGCCTAAGTTATCATGATGAACCAAAGAGGACAATCAAGCAAGAAAGGCGATTCCGGCGGTCTCGGTATTAAGGTAAGCTGCTGTTACAATCATGCCGACCTAAAAATAGGCCTTCTTACCTACAAAATTACCATAAGATGAGTCATCTCATTCTGTCGGGTGCGTTTTCCTGTTTCCTGTAAAGTTTAAACTTCGCCACTTAGTAGAAAAGTTACCTAACTCTAACTATGAGCTCGTTAAAGTAGCAGTTGACGTTCGATATAGTAATCTGAAGTATCATGATCCGTGTACCCTAAATATTTAGCGATTAAAAACTTTACTCGTATCGAATTAGCGCCGACTTTCAGTGAGCAAATATCTACAGATAGCAGTAGAAAATATCAGCTTTTTCGAGATGGTTCGCCATACGAAGATATAACGGGCATCGGAAGTAAGCTGGGTCTCTGGCTGGGTTTAGCCACAATTAATTCCTTCAAAGTCGTTAACTAGCTGCCCGATATTTTCGATCAAACGCAAATCCAACTTTGTTACTCATGATTTTATATATTTGTACATATATGCCATTATTATTGCTATACATATATATATATATATATATATATATATTATTAAGCACTTTTCAATCTTCAAATGCCATACGACATGTACGGAGACTGTACCTGCCGTTTTACATAGCACTAGTTGCCATAAGGGCTATTAAAATTAACGTTTCATTTCCACAAGATCTTCTTCGAAATCAGGTTATCGATAAATCGCAGAAGTTTCGACTCGTGGCAAACTTTGTAACGATTGACATAGACACACATTCCGGTCCTCAACTCGGCAATGGGCTGCAGACATTTCTCTCAGCTGACTCTGCCTGTCAAGGGTGTATCGTCCTTCTCCCAACATTCGGAGCCTGAGTACGTATACAAGTGAAGGTGATAATAGACCCATCAATGAAAAACATTTACTCGCGCGCGAAACAGTATATTGACTCATGATGAATATATCCGTAAATAGTCATAGACTTATCTATGAGGTAAAGCTCGAGTTCGGTTGTCAGGCTTTCTATGAATAGATCACAGCGCATGAACGAGACTATCGCCAACGGCCGTGTGTATTTCAAGTCTGTTAAACATGTTTTTTTCAAGTATTTGAATTCGCCAACGTGAACTAGACAAAAAGAGTAAAGGCTGGCAAAGTTTTCCCACTGATAATTCCGTTTCATGCGCCTCGTAGAAAGGGAAGCTACATTGTTAAGGCTGGATCATAGCCAAGTTCTGCCAAGGAGGCAGGACCGAGCAGAACTCAACACGTGGCAAAGAAGCGCCGACTGCAAGTATACGAAAGCGTGTAACATATCGATGAACCGCGATAGACATTTAGAAATCAGTGTAAGTGTAAAGCTGAATAAACTGTATATGTCAACTATATAGCGTACGCTCAAGTTCCATATGCCATATTGAGTTTGTTTGATTTACTACAGTGGCTTGCAACTATATGACGAACGAAACTATATGACAGGGTCCTTCGGCAGCGGACATTCACCGATTACTCGAGTAAGATCTGTTCCTTCTTATAGTTCTATACCGAAGATTATATCGACTCGTTCCCTATGAACGGAACTATAACAATGTCTGTATTACATAATAAATACATATTTAAACAGCCGGTGATGAAAAAAGTTTTGTAGGAAAATTGTTTTTAAAGACGACAAATGCACACATATGTCTTTTTATAATACACTCTGAAAAAAAGATAACAATCAGTTAGTAAAACAATCAATATCAAGTACATTTTGATATTTTGTTGTCTTCGGCCAAAGCCTATGCGTCGATTAGGATCGTAAACCAGCTTCAGCCAAGTTAAAAGAAAAAATATAGCCGTAAGTTTAACTCATCTTTGGCCGAACGAAACTTTATTTTCATTACATTGAACGCTATACAATAACAATACTGATCTTAGTCA